AGAGAGAGAGAGAGAGAGAGAGAGAGAGAGAGAGAGAGAGAGAGAGAACAAAAATACAGTTCTAAATAGCAGCTAAACATACAAATTCTACATACATTTTCTACTGAGTAACTATGGTGTTGTATGGACTTATGTAATACCCAATTAAAGTTAGCAGTTTTGCAAGGACTTTTGATTTACTATGTCCCTATGATACAACAGATGGGTCAGCTGAAGAATGTGATTTCTACATTTCATCTGCTTGCCTCAGCTGCTTCTCTTGATGCTCAAAGAGCCAAGAAATTGAATAGTGAGTGAGTGACTGAATGTCTGAGAAGATGGCAGTCTTGAAAGTGGTCTCAGGAATGCATAACATAAATAAAAGTACCTTTAGGACAGTCATACTTACAAAACAAATAAAATCCACAAAGAAAAAGAAAGCAAGAGAAGAAAAGGACAAGGGGTGGAGAGAAACAAGAGAATTTCATGCAGTGGTTTGGGCCTCCACAGCATCTCTTTATTGGAGCCCATCAGGGTCACTCTGGATTGTGTCATATAGAAAATAGAAACTCTGCTGGAGTAACACAGAGTGAGACAAACTGACAGCCACACACAGAGGGAATGATTGGGAAGCCAGGACACTTGGAGGGACCATGCCGGTGATTATTTACAAGAGAGATACAACACAGAGAGGTACAATCCTGCCCTTGCTTGGCTCCTCTCTGACTCAGCCAGTCTCCTCATTCCAGGACTCGGGGGTGGCACTGGGGGCAGTGGTTCCTTCCCCGTTGCATGTCGCTGGACCTGCTGATGTCATTGTTGATGTTTCTGCTTTAGTTGCTGGAGCTGTGGATGTTTTTCCCTCTGGGTTTCCTTCTGCAGGGGCTGATACCACTGTGGCCACCCGGGCAGCTTCAGTTGTTGGAGCTGTGTTATCTGCTTCAGGTTTAGCCTGCAGGGTGTTGTTGGGCTGTGTTGTAGCAGCACCATCTGTTGTGGCAGCAGTGGGAAGGGTTGGCTTAGCTGCATCTGTGTGATCTGGCGCTCGGAGTCTCTTCATCATTGTGGTCACTCGAACAGCTTTCTGTGGGTTGCCAGGAGAAAGATGGTTTTGAGATCTAATGTCTCTTTAATGTTTCATAACCCCAATTCAGAATACACAATCCCACAGACCTCTCGACTTAAAAAAAAAAAGTAACCTTGATGTATTCACATTGGAAATTCCACATTTTATTTTTAAATGTGCTGTCAGAGCCCTTGACTGCAGATAAACGCTTGAGAAAAGAATGGGTTTATAATAGATCCTCAAGGGTAAAAGCATCAGAAAGCAAATAATAAGGTACGACTAATGTATTGTGAGTTGTGCTTTATCTGATGATGAGTAATCCAAGTAGCAATCTTTAGAAATTGCAAGTTATGGCTGTCATTCAATTGAAGTTTTTAGATACTGTTTTTTTAATCATGCCATTTTTAAACTGATAAAGGAAAAATATAGGAAAATTTATATTAATAGAGGGATTAAAGACATTGATTTATTGAGGTTAATAAAAATCAGACAAGGCATAGTGAGAAATAAATGTATATGGAACATGCAATTACTATAAAATACTTAAATGCATATTTATAATATAAGTAGTATCTTATCAGTACTAGGTTAATAGAAATGCTTGATCTACCAATATATTCTTCATACCATTCAGTTGAAACAATTTCTTTTAGAAAGTTTTGTACAATGTCTATGACATCAGCAATTTCCAGGGAATATTATCTTCAAAAATTATTGCAGTGGTTAATGAATTGATACAAAGTATTAATGACTTGTTTTAAAAAGTAAAGGAGAGTAGACTTCAGAATTACATGATTCCTGAAAACCTTGGATGTATCCATCAACAGCTTGTAATTTTTATTTTTAATGTTATTGTGATAACAGAGGAAAACAATTAAAATGTGGATAATAATCATGGGAGAAAGCTAAACTAAATGATTCCTGTATTTTACCAAGGAAACACATGGGTGGACATGATAAAGGGCTTGTTGATGTAATGTGGATTGATGGGCCCCTCAGATGGGATGTTGTTCAACATACTATTGAAGAGCTGAGGATCTTCCAGAATACAACTGGTATTTTATGACTCTTTTTAAAGTCTTCAGATTGTATGAATGGCTGAGGTTGCCATTCAAAAGAAAGAAAGAAAGAAAGAAAGAAAGAAAGAAA